GTTCACAGTTTAAGTTTACAATTGTAACATACAATGTCATAACATTTTGATCTGAACAAAATAATTACATCTGCTTAATATCAATGAAAAATAAAGTGCTTGCAGGATTTCTAAAGAAAACTATTTTAAAACACTAAAATAAATGCATGTTAAACATTCCCAGAACCTTTCCACTTGGATCCCACAGGTTTGTCAGTTTGTATTTATGCTCAGCGTGGAATCGCCGAGACAGCGACGCGAGCACCGCCCCAACTGCACAAAACGCCCCCACCACGAGAGAAAGCTGCAGCTGCGCGGCGACCCTACCGCCTGCTATGGGAAGCCAAACAACCCAAATGTGGGACGAAACAGCGTGGTATTAAAGTGTTCGCGCCGCGCTGACCTGTCATAGGCGCGGCTCAATGGACCGAGCTGCGCAACCGACTCGACAGCGCAGAGATGACGTGTTTACTAGCGCCACCGAACTGACAGCGCGGCACTGATCAGTTACAACAGCGCAGCGCGAACATTACTCTTCTTCTTCTTCTTCATGTTTTATGGCGGGTGGCATCCAACGTTAAGGTGCATTACCGCCACCTACTATGCGAACATTACTCTCCGCAGAAGTTCGTCCCGGGCGGCGGGAGTGCAGGTCTCTAGTCCACAGCCTTTCTTGTCTGGTAAAAGTATTTCTAATTAAATGTAGCAACATACTGACTGGTAGAATTGTTCTTAAAGCAAGTTCATGACCCTATTACGTACCATCCTCCAATCTTAATCTGAAAAATGTTTTGTAATCTGTTAGAGAGTCAACTTTTTCCTGAAGATGAAGAATCTTCTGCTTTTTTAGTTCATAGTCAAGTAATTATTAATTCAGGTATTAGTACATGCTAATTCATGTACTGTTATTGTAAAGTGTTACCGGTAGCATGTGCTAGTTTAGGGTCAAGAAATGAATAGTTGTATTCAGCAAGGACATATCAAATTTATCAAAAGTAAACAGTAACGACATTCAAATAAATACTGTTTTTTGAACTTTCTGTTTAACAAAGAATCCTTAAATACAGTCGACACAGATTCCACACAAATACAGCACAACTGTTTTCAACATTGATAACAGAATGATTTCTGAAGGATTATGTGACACTGAAGACTGGAGGTCTGATAATGGTTGACGAAAATTTTGCTTTGTCATTGCAAGAATAAATTACATTGTAAATTAAATAGAAAACTGTTATTTTAAATTGTAATAACATTTCACAATATTAATGTTTTTACTTATGGTAGTGTCGTGTGTATATGTACTATTAAAATCAACATTATTAAAACTGTACAGTTTTATAATATAAACTAAACATTTTTTATAATTTTACTGTTTTTTTTTAATTGCTTATATAATGCACTTCCGAATTTGAGACCTGTGCTACAAAGACTTTCCTCCCTCAGAGTTTGTACTTTAGCACCGCCTACGCTCAATTCAGTTCTTCCCTGTCTTCAAACCTGAAGATCATCTTCTTGTTCAGCATGACCTTCAGATACTTTGTGATTCACTGCTTGTTTTTTGGGAAGCACAGTCCTGTCCTTGAGCATCCTGACTGTGTGGGTCACAGAAAATACAAAAAACTCCTTTAAGATGGGACGTACCTAACAAATGTAATAATCCTGGTCTCTTTGCTCAGACAAACCACAAACTGAATAAAATCTGCGACAGTTCAGAAGAGTGAAATATGATCACCAGAGATGATAGTTTCTGTGTGAAGTTCAGTGACCATTTATTTTCTCTCTATGTTGGCTTTGCTTTACATTTGTTTGATTCTAAGAAGTGATACAGAGCAATTGTACAGAATTTAATATTTTCTAACTTTTATATGTCTGAAGGTTAACATAGACCACAGGACCAGAGAGGAGACCAAACAGAGGCTTCTGGAACCAACTCCCAACAGTCTCGGTGAAGTCCAAGCTAAAGTGTACAGCCTCATGGAGAAAGACTCCTATCCTCGGTTTATAAGATCAAAGATCTATCAGGACTTACTGAACAGGACACAGATATACTGTCAGAGGAAATCTGTTTAAAAGTGAATGTCTATTTGCTTGCCTGGTTAGAGGATATTGAGATAATAAAGCAGACTTTAATTGTAATGTATAGCACAGTCTGTGTGTTTACAAAATAATTAGATGAGAATAATCAAATAAAAAAGTTCAAAAGTCGAAAAGTCGAACTAGTTCCTTGCTAGTTTGTGCATCTAAACTTAAACATGACCCTGTACTGTGCTTCTTTGCCCAGTTCTATTTGTAACGTGGCTATATTCTCTCCCTTCAATTGTGATAGAATGGTCGATGTTTCTTCTGAATGCTGGCAAGCATGTAATGTAAATCAGTCTCTACATGGGTAATATGTAAGAGTAGAGTATGATAATTTATTTTTCTTATCTTCAATGTAACTTGTGTACACATTAACACTGATATGTTTCGATAAAACAACTAAAGACATGCCTGCTGTGTTACTGCATGCAGTCTCTGACTTCGAACATCTCAATGATTATTTTTCCTTCAAATCTAAATCTAAAAATACTTCAATCCCACACACATACGCACACTGAATATATTTTTTCTCTGAATAAGTGATATTTTTAATGTAGCGTTTATGTTTATTTTGTTATTTATTAATTTATTTAAGCTTATTCTTTCACATGTTGATGTTCTGATGGTTTACAATGACATGTTCTTGTGATGATATTAGATCAAGTAAAGCATGTCACTTCGAACAGTGTTGGTTTGTGTTTTTTTTTGGGGGGGGGGGGGGGGGGCTCCTAGTGTCTCCTCGTCTCCAAGTGTCTCCTGTTCCTCCTAGTTCCCGGATCGCTGAGGTGTGTGCTCCTCCTGTGTGCATTCCAGCTCCTGTAAAGCCAAAGACTCTGATTACTCCACTCATCATATCCTTTGAACTGTTCTACGAACTATTCACTCACCATCACATCATCTGGACCCTACATCCGTACTCTCTGTGACCAAATAAAACTGTTTATAAATACTAACCTGTTGCGTCAGACCTCTTCCGTTACAGTTTGTAAGAAACAAATCCATCATTAAGGCATTTTACCTGTAAACCATTGCTTCTGGCTAAAATACGAGTCCATAATCCATACACTCTAAAAAATGCTGGGTTAAATATAACCCAGCGCTGGATTAAAAAGGGACAAACCCAGCTATTGGGTTGTTTTGACCCAGCGGTTGCATGGGTTCAAAACAACCCAATTGCTGGGTTTGTCCCTTTTTAACCCAGTGCTGGGTTATATTTAATCCAGCATTTTTTATAGTGTAATAAAACCCTGTTTCCTCTCACATCAAAATCTACTGACATATTGGTTTAAACAAGACGACTTTTTCACTGGAGAAAGCAATAGAAAGAGGACTTGAAGAAATTAAACTTCCTAATGAATTTGTTTATTACAAACACAGCTTTTTGCTTCACAAGGTGTTAATTGATGGATTGGAGTCATGTCAGTTACTTGTGGATTATTATGATGCTTTTATCTGCTGTTTGGACTCTACTTCTGGTGGCACCCATTTACTGCAGAGGATCCATTGGTAATCAAGTGGTGTAATCCTACATTTCTCCAAATCTGTTACGATAATACGGCCTATGGGTGAGTACATTTTCAGCAAATTTCCATTTTTGGGTGAAAGTTTAAATTGAGTAGCCTACTTAAATTACTGAGGTAATTTGTAAGATACTCAAGAATAGAAATCCATTCAGAAATTAAACATACATGTTCTTTCTTTTTACAGTGACACATAACAAAATACTCCAGAATAATTATGTACAAATTACCACAGACAGACTGCAAATGTTATAATATCCCTTCAGCACACAGATGTGATGCCCTTGGCTCATTTGTTTTCTTTCAAGGACTATAGCCCAGTTGGAATAATTAGATCTTCCACCCCTTCAGATCAGTGCTCCCTGAACACAGTTTAAGACAGAGAGAACATCTGCCAGCCTGGGGCAAAGTCCTCCCTGGAGGCATCGCAAATAGATTCACGAGTCATAGACACATGCCTCCCTATCAAATCTATGTTATCATGAGAGAATGAGGGGAACCATTCAGGTGGGACCTCAGGTTAATTACAGTCTCTTCTCTTTGTTTAAGAATTCAAAGTTCCAAAATGAACTTTCTAAATATCACCATTACAGCTGAATGCATTCGGTGGTGCTGATGTGGAGGTCATGAGAAGTGATAACCTGGGATTTTGGGGCAGCCAGGGATGGCAATATTTGATTCTTATTGGTATATTCAAATTCTGTTAGATGCTTCTCGTCAGTTGAGCATCTGCTTGCATGGTAAAAATAAATAAATAAATAAGTGCAGCACTCAAATATCAGTGCATTTTCTCCCTTTTGTTAAGAATTTTACACTTGTTTTTCCTGAATATAAAAATATAAAAACATAAAAAAATGGATATTCTTTCCAGATGAATGCCACTTTTTTATTTAATATTTGAAAATATATTGACATTTATATTAAGAAATTGCATTTATTTGTTAGTTAGCTTTATTTATTTATGATTTATTTATTTATTATTATGGGTTTACCCATTCATCCATCCTCCAAGCTGAAGTTCATTCAATTAAAAGTTGCATTAAGATTGATATTGTTCTGTAAATGTACTTAATGATAGGCCTGAACAAAAACAGTAATCTGATCACTTTCAATTTGCTAAATAAATGCCTAATAAATATTATTGACATATTCTGCTGAATAGCTACAATTATTCATTTAATCCTCAAAATTAGCTAAAATCAATTTGACAAGGAATTAGTATTGGCAATATAGCTTTGATAATACTTAGTTAAAAGTATTATTTAAATATTAATTTGAGGATTTGATGTGTAAATACATTTATGATTACACATTTTAATGTTAGGTGTTAATCATGATTAATCACAGAAACCTTTAAAAAATTACATCATTTTTCAAATCAATTTACAGGTTTATGTGTTTGTTTATTTATTATTTATAGTATTTTTATAAGGATATCATAGGATACTTATTTTGACACCATTATTGGTGATGATGTTTGAGAATAAAATGTGTCATAATGGTTGTTTTTGCTATGAGCAAACAGCTACTCATTTTTGAGCTGTTAAAGTCAAGTAGTTAATTAAATTAATGTAAATGCCCATGCTTAGTATCAATACAAAATTCTGACTAAGATCATTTTGCAATTTTATATTAAACAAAGTATTAAATTTAACTCAGACATAAAATCTGAACTGGAGAACTGCTGGAGTAAAATCGGAGTGAATGATGCGGAGTTTATACAATAAATTATTCTCAAATGTGATGTATATATCAAGACCATGCTGATATTTTCTGCCAACATCATTTCTACTACTTAAAATGAGAATCAACTGAGTATTACACAGTTTCAGTATTAAACTGTTCTAATACTATAAGTGTACTTTAAGTACTTTGTGAATGTTAGTCATGCAGTACTCAAGGTTTTCAAAACAGTAATGCCAGGAAACATTACAGGCCTGGCCTTTACCATTAAAAAGCTGATGTAGGTGGATTCCCGGACAAAATCCCCACTCATCGAGTCTCAGGGCTAATTCATAGCACTTCAGGAGCATTAGAGCTGACAGCAGCCTCAAGCGAGAGATTTGCACAACGCTGTGAGAGTGTGTTGTTTTTCCCCCGTACTGCCAGGAAACTAATCGTAGCATAACAAGCAAGCTAGAAATATTAGTGGGCTTTTATTTAATGTTCTGGGTGATCATAATATCCATTAATGGCAAATCAGTTTTCAAAATTTGTGCTGAGTGCATACATGTCTGTCTATTGTATAAAATTTCAAACATTCAAAAACATATTCCTATATTGTCATAAAACTGTTTAATAAATGATGAGAGGGTTAGACATACTGTAATGTAATTACTGGAACTTTTTAATTGTTTTGTTTTCAAAGAGTTTAAAGAGTTTTGTGCCTGATTTGAGCCGAGGATTGAATAATGAAGATCCCTTTTACATTTTTCCAAAAGAATGCTCTAATATCACATTTTAATGATTACATTCATAATACGTGATTTATATATCATTATAAATGAGAACTGACATTACATTTTTATGTTTGAAAGAGTATCAGAATATCTAAAGCAACTTACATTGCATTCAAAAAGTACATTTTGTCAGTTCACTTATTGCCTGGGAATTGGTCGTGGCTATATTTATGCATTATGATCTACATGTTGAGCTTTTGGCATATTTAAAGAACACCTTTCAAACATAAAATCTGATTCTAAATATTAATAAAAACTATAATCATATCTCAATGAGAGTAAAATAACACGGTCTCATACTTTTTATGAACATACAAAAACTGTTTGGACTTCAATTCATCTCCATTTTGGGATATTATAACAAAAAAATGATGTTTTGCCATCATTAGAATATCTCTAGAATACTTCAAATACTTTAGAATGTCTTTAGAATATTCTCTTCATATTTTACCACTGTTCTGTATATAAACCTAGGCATTTATTTGTGAAACACAAGCAGGACGAACTTTTGTGTAAATTGTTTGTAAAACTGTTCTGCAGTTATCACAGAAAATTCAGTGCAACAATTGACATGAGCACAAATTTATGAATGATTTACATAACTTGTGCTTCATAGATTGGCCCGTTTGAAGCGATAGTATCTTTGTTTTGCCTATTAAAACCCATTTATATAGCATTTACAGGGCGGGGGGATTTGTTTACTTTAATAAATAATCATACTTTAAGAAGTGTGAAGTAAAATGTCATTTAAAATAGAATATGATCATGAGTGATGGAAAAATACAAACTAGGACTAAAAATATGCAACATTGCATAAAACAAGTATCCTTTGTTCAAGGTTGAATCATTCTTATCATGATAATTCTGTCATTTGGAGGACACAGAATTCATGGTCTGAAAAAGAAGGCTTACAAATGTGAAAAATGTATTTGCAGCTGCCATTATGGCCTATTTTCCCAGTGTGTTTCTTTAACTCTTATCATGTTAAAATAAATAGAATGGTGCTTTCCATCCTGAGATAGTTTCAGAAATCAAAAAGAAATATTCATAATGGAATGAATGTACTTTGATCATTGTGTCATGTGAAGACCTCTTCATTAACATTAAAAGGTTAGCGGTGTCCTGAGGTAAGACTGATTGACTGT